GCTTGGGAGAGAATAGAGTTCTAAGGGGGTTTCTTTGTAAACCAAAGTTGTAACTTATTCTTTCATTAGTGAATTTCTCAAGGGGATCACCAAGAAGATGTAGGCAATTGCTGAACCTCTAAAATACTTGTGTCACTTTGTGCTTGGTTGGTTTCTCAAGTGTGTGTGTGTGTGATTCATCCATTCTTGTGTGTGTCACAAAGTCCATCAACAACAAGATCATTAGGGGAGTGAGTGAAAGTGTTTGTCCATTTTCACAACAGCAGGCTGATTCTTGATATATGCGGAGAAGAAAACCTAGTTCAGAACTTCCATTCTGTGTTACAGGTCTAAGCCGTTTACATGGTTATTTGTCTATCAATCAAATTATTGTTGTTTTTGTAAGAAAGTCAATGAGGCTTGATATTCCGTTGATAGCAGGGGGAGATATTTCTCTCAAGGCAAACTCCAAGTTCCCATTTCAATATCAGTGATGGGCTGAACATGCAGGAGTTGATGTTTCCTAATTTTTTTTTGCAATAGGTCAAAGATGACAGATCTGAAATGTTAATTTGTGAGAGAAACTGCGACTGCAACGCCAATTTCATGTAATGCGCAATATTCAAGGCGACTTTTGAGTTTTGGCATAGCAGGTTTATTTCATGAACCTTTTCTACTTTGTATTCTGCGTCTTGAAATAAATTATTTAAAAAAATTCAGAATTGACAATAATTTCAATTACGAGGATTCGAAATTTAAAGAAATCATTCTATTGATCTATATGAATACTGTCTGTAAAATCCTTCAGGTGGGATTGTCACTTCTGCTAGGAACCAAAAAGCTTATCGGAAACACTAACAGCAAAACCTCCTCTGCCTATTATGCAAACTCTATATATTCATTCCATATTTCTTTTTACAAACAATAGAAACACAATGCATGCACTCTGATTCTCAAGGAAGAAAGAGAAGGTGCCATTAGACATAGAAAATTGTCAAAGCCTATAAGTTTCCCTGCATCCCCTTCTTTCCCTTACATTCAAAGAATCACCATTCACGACTTCACGCTGATCTGAAATATAAAACTAAACCTTACCAAGCAGCAAACAGAAAGTCTAGACTTCCCTTTTGGGTCGGTTGCGTGTTCGTGGAAGGGCAGATTTTTCCTCTATAGACATGTCAACTACATCATCCTCATCAGTTTCCCTGATCGCTTGGTTAATTGCAATCTACATAAACAATACAAACATCACGACCTACTTACAAAAATATAGAGAGAAAAAAAAACAACACATTCGCGCATACGAAAATATAAGCAGTCAGGATAATGACAATTTGCAGCAGGTTTTCCATATTTCTTGTGGCATAATTTTCTTCGAAGGCTAATTATAATGTGAGACCAACAAAAGTCAAGCTGTGAAGAACAGACGTGCTATCCCATGAATTAACAGTTACTATAATCGCAAATGTAATAAATAATTTGCTTGGCAGACCACAAGTATCTCGGACAATGATTTGTTGACTGAGTTTCCAGAATCTGGTAGTTCATAGTTCATAAACATAACAACTAATTGGAGAAAAAGAAAAAGAACATCGCAAACAAACAGATTATGAAATTACTCTATTTTTAGCAGTATTTGCAAAACTCTCACTTTCCAGCCCCTCCTGTTCACCTAGGGGTTCCAAAGATAGTTTTTTACATTAAAGAAAAGAGGAAAACATAAGATTGTTCCCATTACAATATGGAATATTTAGAAAACAAAGCTAAAAGCTTCTGTCAAAACAGCAGCAGAAGATATAAGCACAGAAAAAGGATAAATATCTTAATTTTAAACCGAGTATTCTTTTTAAGGCACATCTAATAACATGTCTCTAAGAACATGCCATCAGACAATGCCGAAATCATGATTTTAAACAAAATTGAGATTATATGTGAATATGCATTTTACATTTCAGAGGAACAAGTTGATAAAAGCTCCTAATTTTCGTTATTGTTCCATGTCGGGGTGATTACGACATCAAAATTTAAACATAATGAGAAAACTACCAGAGCAAAACAGAGTACATAAGAGTAAAAAAAACATCATGACAGAGCAAAACGACACATTTTATATTCTAGCCATTGAAGGCTTGCCTGGCAGTTCAATTGCCAAATTTTATATTCTATGTGAAAGAAATCATTGGCAATCTTGCTCATTCCAATCACCACAAAAACGAAAAGAAATATAAAACCGCTTGCAATCTTCAACAAAACCCAAAACCCACATGAACTTTAACATCTCAGAAGCATTAAGCCGCATGCAAAAAAAGACAAAAACCCAGCTGCAGAAATTTCACAAACCTCTTCAAGAAAGTCTTCGTTGAGCTTATCGGCGATTCTCAAGGAGGTGAAGACAGTGACAGCGATCAGAGAGAGTGGCATAACGAATGCGAACACGTACTGGTTCGTGGTGGGACCGGCACATGTCACCACCGTTAGGCCTCTGGCTTTCCGGCCGGAAAATCGAGTCGCCGGCGATTTGGGCACGTGCGGGGGGTTGAGTAGAGCACGTGAGGACGGGGCTGGTGGAGAGAGAGTGAGAGAGGCTGTGTTGGAGACGAGAAGCCTTGCCATGGTATGGTAGTAGCTTAGCTTTTCGGCTCGGAGTGGATAATGTTTTATTTTGCTTTTATAAAAGGAAGATGTTAGGCTTATCACATTTTTATACCACATTGTATATCATCTCTCTAAATAGAGGTGAGTCTCATTGTATTGGTGGGCTTCACCTCTATTAAAAAGGTGGTACACAATGTAGTATAAAAATGTGATAAGCCTAGTATTACCCTGTATAAAAACACTGCGGGTCATGTTAACATTGTCTTTCTTGTTTTTTTTTTTTTAAATTTAAAATTTAAAATTATTTAATTAGAGAAAGACAATAGATTGTATTTATACACACAAACGTCAGTCACAAACGCATTACAGAGGAGTCCATCAGCAACAATAAGTGCACAAGGTGTACCTCCATTGATACGCACATAGGACCAAAGAAACTCCAGTGTAAAAGCGTCAAGGTTAGTGTTAGGACTCAAGATCCCACATTGGAAAAATAAGCATATTTTAGAGTGGTTTAAGAACTCATGGGCACTCTTCCCTTACAAGCCGTTTTTTAGGGACAAGTTCTATCTAAGAGTTCTTAACATTTGGTATCAAAACCTTGTTTCACCACGCAACTGGGCCCAATTCCACGACAAGGGTGACCTATAGGCTAAATTAAGATGATCGGTGTTATGTATGGGCATGATATCGAGTCATTGAATACCGATAGTTGAGTACGAAAGCATGATGGAATGTTAGGACTGAAGATCCCACATTGGAAAAATAACATATTCTAAAGTGGTTTAAGAGCTCATGGGCACGGGATAGATGCAACTTTTCCCTCTCGTCTGTTTGTACAATATCTAGCCAAGCACTCCCAAACACTCCCAAGCCAAAGGGAAGGGAGTCCCACATCGACAAAACACAAGAGGAGGGGACTCTTCCTCACTTATAAAAGAAGACCCCTCTCCTTCAAGAAGAGGAGAGGAGAAAGAAAGGAGGAGAAAGAAAAGAGGAGTTAGGCAGGCTACTGGGGCCCCATGGGTTTACCCATGAGCCCATTTACAAGCCCACGGATCATTGGCCTTCAGCCAGATCATCAGCCTTCAGCCTTCAGCCTCCAGACTTCCTACCTTTAGCCTTCAGCCTTCGGCATTCTTCTTCTTCCCCCTGGGTCTAACCCTATGTGCAATGTATACACACATTATTGTAATGAGAACATACTTCTCCATGGACGTAGCCCATTATTCGGGTGAACCACGTACATTTGTCTTATGTATGCATGTCCATTTACTTATCGAATGCTCTTACACACTGAGGGTCCTCACCTTCAGCATCCACCTCATCTTAAGTTGGCCTTCATACTACCCATATAGTTTTAGCGCAAACAGATTGGCGCCGTCTGTGGGAAACGACACAAAACGCTATGTCGTTCTCCTTTTCGAGTGCTCTCGGCAGCCTACAACAAGTGCCCCTTCGGCACCCTTGCATCATTCGGCGCGCGATGTCTTCACATCCCCCAATGATTCGGCATTTGCCTTCGGCACCATTGCATCATTCGGCGTGCGATATCTTCACATCCCCCAATGATTCGGCATCTGCCTTCGGCACCCTTGCATCATTCGGCGTGCGATGTCTTCACATCCCCCAATGATTCAGCATCTGACTTCGGCACCCTTGCATCATTCGGCGCGTACGATGTCTTCACATCTCCCCAATGATTCGGCATCTTCCTTCGGCACCCTTGCATCATTCGGCGTGCGATGTCCTCACATCTCCCCAATGATTCGGCATCTTCCTTCGGCACCCTTGCATCATTCGGCGTGCGATGTCCTCACATCCCCCAATGATTCGGCCTCTGCCTTCGGCACCCTTACATCATTCGGCGCGTACGATGTCTTCACATCTCCCCAATGATTCGGCCTCTGCCTTCGGCACCCTTACATCATTCGGCGCGTACGATGTCTTCACATCTCCCCAATGATTCGGCGTCTGCCTTTGGTATTCTCAGATGATTCTGCGCGCTCGATGCCTTGTACATCCCCCATCATCATTCGGCACTCCAAAATTATGTGAGTATCCATTACTTAATAATTATGCCTTTTCTAAATTACTACACCTACTCTTTGCCAAGCTTCCGGCAGCGACTCCAAAGCATACAGCAGTGCTCCCAAGCTTACGGCAGCAAGTCCAAGCTTCCGGCATCAGCTTCCAAGCTTCCAAGCTTCCGGCATCAGCTTCCAAGCTTCCGGCATCAGCTTCCAGGCTTCTGGCAGTTTCTGCCCCACCTTGCTGAACGGCACCCCCCCCAGGAGATACTTCTCCTTTACGGCGCCAAGCCCACATGCCGAATGGCATCCCTGGAGACATTTTTCCTTTACGGCAGCTCCCAAGCTTACGGCAACTTCCAAGCTTCCGGCATCAGTTTCCAAGCTTCCGACATCAGCTTCCAAGCTTTCAGCATCAGCTTCCAGGCTTCTGGCAGCTTCTAGCCCACCTTGCCGAACGGCACCCCCCATGAGATACTTCTCCTTTACGGCGTCAAGCCTGTTAGAAATGTGCCCTAAGAGCCAATACATTTGATGTGATCTCCTTAGAATACATTTCGTATATGATATATAAAGGGCAAATTTATTTTGTTATCTTTTACATCGTGTAAAGAAACAAATGTCCAAGGTATGCTAAATAAGAGATAAAGTAATCTAAAGAAGATTAGATTCGGGAGGCCTTTAATCTCTAACCGTAGCATCCCAAAATGTTCCTAATCATAGGTTATCAAATGGGCATTGATAAACCGTCAAGATTAGCACATATTATGTATGCTCAATTGGGAGGATGGTAGT